GAAAACTATAAGGAATTCGAAATTCAATGGTTCATAATTTTAGAATGCATTCTAACAGAGCTATTGTAATTTTATTGAGAGATTTTAGGTTCTTCTCATTTTTTGGGTGAAAAATTATTAATGTTCAAAGTGGAATAACTCGGCCGGAAATGGATCGTTTTTGCTCGGACTAGGCTCATTGCACTCGGAAATCATCCAAGAAAAGATATCTCACTTGGTAGATTTTTAGACCGACTGCGTTAAAAATGCCAGTAGAAACACTGAAAAAAATTTTTTTCTTATGTAAAAACAATGTTAATTTACGGGGCTCTGGGGGGGCCATTAGGAGTGAAGATAAAAATCTGCAAAAATTCAGTGATTTTTTTTGAATTTTTTGGAGTCGATTTGGGGGGCGTCAAGAAAAATTTTGGTCCTAAGTGCCACCCTAATATGTATATATAAAAATGCATATAACAAATAAGAAAAATAAAATATTTTTTAATAGAGAATTTTTGGCAGCTTATTTACATATAAATAAAATAATGAAGACGATCGAAAATATATTTATTATTTAATAAATATTTATAAAAATGCTATAATTTTATAATATTTTGAAAATTTTAATAAAATTTTATGATCATTAATAAGATTGGCATTTTTATCAACATTTATCAAGTGATTAATTAAAATTATTAAATGATCAAAATAATTAAATATCAGCAAAGAAGGAATTCGTTAAAACATTAACAAAAACATTTTTGCAAGTGAACGCAGATATACTTTTTTTTCTTCAATTAAATTTAACAATGAGATTAAATATCGGCAAATTACCGTATAATTAATAAGTTAATTACGTTAAACCTTACGTTATTAAGATCCTCTAGGACAACTAGCATTACGACACAAAAGTCGTGTGTAAGGTCGAAGACGGTTTCGGATAACACTTTGACCCGTTCACATGGTGTCTGTTATCCGACTCGCTCTTTTGTGCGATTGCAGCTGCAAATGTATTCCTTGGCCACCCCGGCTGATCGTTATGAATGCGATCAGGTGTATCGCGATAACGATCGGATATTTTCACGAATCTCGCTCCAGCAATAGCTCCGACTAAGCCATCATTATCGTATAGCTGGGGTTGAATATCAGGTGGTTCCTATACAGGTATAACGACCGATTATTATATTTATTCATTGTAATGTGTATATAAAAAAGAAATATATAATTTCTATATTATAAATTCGCTATTTTTCTATAACATTTTCATGCTTTATAAACACTAAAGTATTTCATATAATATTCTTTATATTTTATCTTTTAATTTCTTTTTTGTTTTTTGTTAAAATAATGACATTGACTTTTTAAAAGAAATTGAAATCTCCAACAAAGCAATGTTAAGCAAATGAGATAAGCATTAAAAAAATTTATGACATAAAATACAATTGATATGGCTTTCGATTAATTTTGTATATTTTAAACTTGTATAAATAAATGAGAAAATTAAAAAAGTGCCGGTTAATCAAATAAAGATAAAATAAATCTTTGTAATAATACAGAATGGTGTCAACAGGAAATAATACTAAAATAATTTCTCAAATATTTATATCCAGAGATCAGCTTGCTCATCGAGTCCTGTCACTTACACCCTTTATCTCATTTCCGGGCCATATTATGTCTAAGGCACTTGCATACGGTGTAAATAAATACTCCATATCGTAGAGTGTCATCAGGCACTTCGGCCAGTCGTCTTGAGTGTGAGATATGGCGATACTTCGCCGCCTTCGAGTCAGTGCCGAGATCGAGCTGTGAAATGTCGGACTGAAGCTTCTTTGTATTAAAAGAAAAAAATTTGAAGATGAAAAAATCGAGTGACATTTTTCGTGCAATCGAGCGATCAGAACTTTCATAATTATTCGTAAAATGTACAAAACGTGATCGTTAGAGAACAAAATCAACGAAAGTGATTTTGATTTATCAGAAAAAATATCTGAAAAAATAATTTCTTTTTTTAATTTTATATACATAATACATAGTATACAGAATAATTGTGGCATTGGAGCAAATGTGATACTTAAATATGTCTTAAAATATTAGAATAATAAATAATAATAAAACTCAATCACAAATAAAAGAAAAAATATATTATAATTTTATTTTATTTAGAATTATTAAATAAAAATTTAAAAATTATAATTATTCTTAAATATAACATATTTTGGAATTGAAAATAATGGTTATTAAATATATCTTTCTCTCATAAAAAATACTATGTCACATTTGTCTAAAATATTATAATCACTTGATGTTAGTTGAACTGACGATTTAAAAAGAGCAAGTATTTCCGGTAAAAAGATCTTTACAAATAAAATCGCGCGGTTAAATTAAATCTTTAGATTTTGAATGAAATCTGTAATAAATATGTCACTCAACGATATTCACTATCTTGTGGTGATACACGGCGTCATGTGTCATATTTTCCGCGAATGTGCGCACTGTGCTGTCGGTAAACAGAGTGTAAGGACTTTGTAAAAATACCATTAAAAGTATTATGCTCCGTTTATCAACAGTACGGTGCGACGGAATCATCTGCTGATCAAACCAAGAGAACTCTTCGCGTTTAGTTTTTGCGACTCCCATATTCTAGCATAACTCAGCCGTGTCGTTATGAAAGGCATTATGCTAGGAATATGCGGTGTTGTGAATTTGCATGTCAATCCTCATGGTGAAAGTTCAGAAATTTCATCTACAAGTTATACAGCAACAAAAATTATAAAATCTTCTTCAAATATTAATATAATTAAATGTGGACATTATAGTTTTAGATAATATGAATATATAAATTATAATTTTTTGCTGTGTTAGAAGTTAAAGTTAGTCATGAAATAAAATTAGTATCCAGATCTTGATAGTCGTCGTATTTTAAAACTGTCGATCAAACGACAAAATTTCTTGGCTCGTAACACTTCTTCTGCAATTTAATTTTTTATTATTAATTATTAATTATTACATATATATATATGAAAATATTAATTATTAATAATGCAATCAAAACGTTATACTAAACGTTTATCTATAATATGTAATTAAAATACGATGTATCGAACACATAATTGAGTAATTATACTTTTCCAAAATGTAAAAATCTTATAAAAATTGTTATATACATGTAATTGCGTTTTAAAGATAATTTTTTCTTTTATGTTCTGTAACTTTCTGTAGTTTTATCTTACTATATATATTAATGTTTAGTTTAATATTAAATTGATAAAACTATAGAATTTATTATTTTCTGTTTATTTGGAATTTACAAAGCTTAAGCTAACTTATTAACAAATTTTTATGTATTAACATTAGATATATAAATACAGTGGCCTCGATTTACGTAAGTTGTAATCTTTGTTATCATAAATAGATATATCTGTATTGCAACACATTGCAAACCATATCACCAAACTTACACCTGTATTAATCTTAGTGGAAAAGTGATATATCCGTTGAAACCTACGAAGAAAATGCGTGTGACCGTCGTAGGCGCCGGTGTTACAGGAGTAACGAGTGCGTTTGCGGTGAGCGCTTTTCCAAGTTACGATGTGAAGATCTTTGCCGATGCATTCTCACCTGATACTACTAGAGATAGAAATGCTGGTTTATAGTCTCCTTTTCTCCTTGGTGACACACCTGCCGAGGATATAACGTAAGTATACTCTTGGTTTTTATCTGTAGACATTAAAAGTAAAATCGCACGTTATGAAATCCAAAGATCTTTCAAAAAATAACATATGTAAATATTGATTTTTCATATTAAATGTTTTTACACTTTGATTATACAAATACAGATCGATAGCTCTAAACCATCCAGTATTTTTAATAAATACACTAATATATTCGATATACTTGATTACAATAATTAATTGTATGGTATTTTGTCAGTCGATGTGGGCTGGCAGTACACATCGATGGTTCCAGCAATTGTGGAAAGCCGGATTATCACTGAAAACGGGTGTTTCTCTGTAACTCGTGTTACTAGCGATTATGAGATTGATGTTGAGCCAATATGAACAAAATTTGTTTATGGCTTCCAAAAAATAAATAACGAAAGATTACAACGATTGAATAAAGAATTACAAGTACGTTTTTCGCGTTATATTTTAAAATTGAATTATAGTAAAATTGAACATTTAAATTAAAATAAAATAAAAATAAAATAAATTATTACATATGCAAAATTTAAACGAATCGTCTTATTCTTATTTTAATTACCGCTTGTTATTATTACCGTCTCTTTCGTATTCCGAGATTCGACGTTAACAATTTCAGACAAGGTATGCAGTTCATAACTTACACCGCTGAACCGGTTTTGCTCCCACCGTGGCTCATGGAAAAGTTTGTTGCTTTAGGCGGAAAAATGGAAAGAAGGAACATTAAAATGTTGCACCAATTAGCCGAGGAAGGATATGATCTAATAATAAACTGCAGCGGGCTCGATGCACGAGAACTCGTTGCGGATGAAACGATGATGCCTATTAAAGGTCAGGTGTACAGGGTAATTGACCCTTCAATTTACATATCGCATATCTCCTTCTTTTCAAGCAGATTCAAATTATCATTAAAATTACAATAGTAGTAATGATTTATTCATGTGTTCAATGAATATGAATGTAAAAATTTTAAATTTGCCATTTAAGCGCCTAAAATAGAAGTTGCACTCTTTGTCTCTTCTTCTTTGTGTATCAATATGTCTAATATACCTTCTTCAAAGTATTTTCTTGCTGAAGTTTTCTTGCTGAAGAAGAAAGCTGATTTAGGGATATTTATTTAAGAGCACCTTGGACAATGCATTGTTTTTTGGTGGACGACGATGCCTGCAATTACATCATCCCTAAGTATACAATATTAATAATGCATATTTATTGATAACGTTTATTCCGCAGCCTCTATAATATTTATCCATAGCATCCACAGCGTCGTAATAGGCGGTACTCATCAAGAAGGCGATTTCGACCGTTTCGTACGAGAAAAAGATTCAAAACACATTTATGATGGATGTTGCCGCATATTGCCATCTCTAAAGGTTCTTAAGATACTTGGCGTAAATTTAAGTCCTTCGTTAGCCATGTGGAATTTTTTATTTTCTATCAACAACCTGGATTTTTAAAATTTAGTGAAGATTTTTGTATTGTTCCGAACTATATAAAAATATAACAAAGTTCTTATATACTGAAAGATTTATCTAACAATGATGAGTTTATTTCTACTAAAAGTCGGATTGTATTTTACTTATTTTTTACAGATTTAAATTTATCTATTAAAATTTGCAGTTAAAATATCAGTACCTTCAAAATCCAATTTGGTCAGTGGAGGATTAATAAAAGTAGATTATATATTTGAAAAATCTGAAAAAGAGAGAAAGAAAGGAGAGAGTTCTTGTAAAAACTTCAACAAATTTTTACTCTCGCGTAGAAAATTGTATTTTACTTATTTTTTATTCTAGATAATAGGCATGTTGTAAAAGATATCTAAAAGACACCTTTTAAACATCTTTTAGACATAAGACATTTGAAAAATATCTTATGCAACATAAATATTATCTGGAACATATTTTCTATCAGAATTTATGACTAAAATATATGCATGATTTCAAAGTTTAACTTGGTTAAGGGAGGATTATTAAACTTTTCAAAATAATTTTGGCTTGCGTAATTTCTGTCGCAGACGAGTGAAATAATACGTGCGTGGTGGGTCTTCGACCAGGACGACCGCGAGTTCGTCTGGAGTGCGAGAGCCTCAGCTCGCCCATGGGAAAGGAGTTCAAGGTAAATTACCATAAGATAATATACTGTTAACTATATACGCCGAGAGCAATATCGAGTTGAACTTTAACACACCATCATTCGAGCGCTGCTAAACTTTACGATCGCTTCTTATAACGCTTGTTTCGTGCTTTATATTTTAGGTGATACACAATTACGGCTACGGCGGAAGTGGCGTGACGTTGTGCTGGGGGTGCGCCATGGATGTCGTGGAGATGATAAAAAACTTGAAAGTGCCTGAATTAAACTCCAAACTGTAACTTCAGGGACAGAATAAACTTTTTATCCTTCGTACATTTTTACCTGCATCGTTGCGGGGCGTTTAACCTTGCTCGATCCTTTCTTGTTATATCACCCGAAGAATTGTGTCGTTAAAAATATTATTCTCATTTTTTTTACTTATCTCTTTTTTATTTCAGATTTAAATTAAATCTAAATCGTTTCTCCAGAGTGAGAAGAACGAGTGTTACCGTAAAGAACTTTCGTTTTTCTTGTATAGCTCGTGCCTATTTGACACTTGATCGATATTCGTAATTCTTACTTTAGACCTGCTTGTTTCGCGTAACAATGGTAAAAAGTCGAGCAACATAATTAAACGTCAAGAAAGCGAACGTAAACGCGCGAGGGTGAATCTGCGCGGGGCGCATCAACCTATTTAAAGTTTCGTGTCGTGCAGATCACTTCCGTAACTGTACATACAATTTCTAAATATGGTCGTCAGGTTGTAATTAAAGCACCAAACTAACTACTGAGATACCTTACATGTCGACCATGCCGCAGTAGTCGCGTAAAGCTAGACGCTGGTGACGCGTGTCTCTCAGTCGCAGTACGATCTATATCGGCCGAATAGCTTTCCATTCGCGACAGCTTTAACGTTTTAACGTTTAACGCCAAACGTTTCTTTGAACAAGAAAATAGAGGTACGTTATTAATATAAAAAATACTATTTATATAAATTTGATACGTTTAATAAATTTAAATCATTTTCGCTTTAGAAAAAATGTACATATTCTTTGTTACATCAGAGAAATATGTATATCACTGTATTTTTAATATTTAGCAATAATTATACCTGTATTATAGTAATGATTTATAATGAATTAAAAACGTCTTAATAAAATTCAATATTTAAATATAATATTTAAATATAATAAGTATAAATATTTATATATAATAAGTTCAAGCATTGCTGAGATTTTTATAAACGATTCTTTAGACTAATTATATAAAAAGTTAAAACTAAAAATTTTTAAGACGACAGACGGTGACTAGTTTCTAAAAAATTTTACCAAAACCAATTTATTTATGATTGAATTTGTTAATCTGGGGATCGATTGTATATCTTGAAACAAAATGAAAATTACAAAAGTGAGCAAATTCACTAGATGCTGACCGATGAAATAAATATTCTAGTAAATTTGTTCACTTTTATTATTTTCCCCTCGTTTCTAGATTACAATCCTGATTTAATCAATCGACAGAAGATTAGTAACATATCGATTAACACGATTTATCGCGTCTACGCGGCAAATGCAAATGCGAGAGGGATTAAGTTCGGATTCAGTTTGACGCGAATTGACTGACAGCAAATAATTGAAATAATCAAATAATGGAAAGCAACAGCGGTCATGATCGTCGCCGAATATAGCGATAAGTATCCGGTGATATTACGCGATTCTAAAAACGATAATTCCAGAAACGAGAGCGTAACAAACAGTCAAAGCATCAGCGAGCCCGACAAGAAGCAATCCTGCAAGTCGTTGTTCCAAAATCAGAAATATATCGGTTCCAACAATTCCTCGGACTTATCGCTTGCAAACGACAGAATAGGTGTCGCCAAGCATGATTTCGAGCGGCATCACTGGCAGATCACTGCAGATAAAGGCAATAACACAGGTATTCAATTAGTCGTAAATCCGATAAAGAGAAAAGGCAAAATCATATTTTAACAACAAATTCACTCAAAGTAAACGTAACGAGGAATTTACAAAGAGAAAAACTACATAAGGAGATTAGCGAAAAACTTTCAGTGATTGCTTGAAAATTCATTGTTTTAACTATTAAACAGAAAGGATGATTTTTCTGAAATATCTAAAAATTTAGCTAGATCCAAAAATAATTTTATTGGACTATCAAAATGATTATGTATATAGAATGCTCGGATGGCTAGAAAACTTTTCACAGCATTGCTCATCATGCTTGAGTTTCTACGTAATTATTTTGATGGCTTAATAAAATTATTTTTATAGATCTATATGTATATATCTAGTTTAATTTTTAAATACTTCAGCAAATTCGTACTTTTCCATGTAATTTTATAAAAATATTTTCTCTATTATTCTTTAAAAGACGCTTTAAATTTTCCAAGCTTATATATATATGCCCAAGTATTTTTTTTATAATTCATTAATGAAACTTTTCAAATAGACACATTATGCAAAGGAAATGATTCGAAACGGCACAAGGAGGATGTGGAAGAAACGTCAAAGACCAGGAATAAGAAAAAGCGGAGGTACTACGAAGAACTATCATACACATTTATTTTAACAGCCGAAATTGACTTTACAATTTAACGAAACAGATTTTTAACAATCTGCACGATAAACTGCAAGTACGATGTGGTTAGACGTGTGGCCGTACGATTCGGGATGAGAGAAGTTACGGAGGACAGCAGTTGGGATCTCTATTGGACCGACCTGAGCATCAGTGTAGAGCGTGTCAAAGACATGAAGAGGTTCCAGAGGGTCAATCATTTTCCCGGGATGACAGAGATATGTAGAAAGGATTTACTCGCTCGTAATCTCAATCGCATGCAGAAACTGTTCCCGAAGGACTACAATTTTTTCCCAAAAACTTGGTGCTTTCCTGCGGAGTAAGAGAACACATTTTAATGATTAAAACTGTTCGTTTAGCAAATAATACAGTTCTAATAAAATTTTATTATTATATAGAATACTATTTAATCGTTAATATTCATTTGTCTTAATCGACAAAAATTAATTTTTCGTTTCATTAAATAACAGTATTTCATTTAAATTAAATAACAATAAAAAAAAACCATACAATTTTCAAATCAGAATACTATTTGCTACATTAAGCATATAGAATATTATTCTGTAAAACATTCACCCTTTGTGTATAAAATACTATTTGATTAATAATTTTATTTGCACACGTATTTCGCTTTGAATCTAGTTGAAATTTTATATCTAGATACAATAACACACACACACACACACACACAATATTTTTCAATAATAATAATAATCATAGGTAATGAGATAAAATATCGTATGACAATTCTATGAATCGTTTCATGTGTCAAAATAAAAAATACGGTCTATCGATTGAAAGCCCTCTTATCTATTTTACAAGCGCGAGGTTCTCGATGCGTGAGTCATTCTGTTTTGCTTCACTAAACGATTGCTCTCGGGTTCCCGGTTGTAAATTCCAAAGGTTTGCCATTACGGCGATAAAGAAGAATCAATATTTCCTAAAGTCACAAAGAGCGTATAAGTATATCAAAAACTCTGGACTTGGATTTCCAGTCACGGTGACGCGACGGCTTATGCCAAGGCGCGGAGGTCAAAAACTTTCATCGTCAAACCGGATGCTGGCTGCCAAGGTCGCGGTATTTATTTAACGAAACATTTAAAGGACATCAAACCAAGTGAACGTTTGATCTGTCAAGTGTACATCGCAAGGGTATGAAATATTAATTTTTTAAGAAAAAATCATTGGAAGTTTACCGACTAACTTTTTTCTTTTTTTATAAATAAGATAAAATTTTTTACACATTTTTCTTTTCTTTATATTCTCTTGAAATTCTCTAAAATTCTTTCAATTTTCTTTTCAATTAATGTGCTCAATTATAACAAAAAATTTCATAGAGAGTTGCAGTGTAAAAAAAGTCTAATGTAGTATTTTCCTTTTTCTTATTATACCCTTAGCCCTTCTTAATAGACGGGTACAAATTTGATCTACGTATTTACACACTAATCACGTCATGTGATCCTCTTAGAATCTATGTGTACAACGAAGGACTCACGAGGTAAGACATAAATAAAAAAAAAAATACTTAAATGTAAATCTTGTGAGAAGGAGACATGAGATATAATTCTCTTAAAATGTTTTTAAATTTACACACACACATATATATATATATATATATATGTTCCAATTTATTAGGAAATGCAAAGCATATTGTATTTTTAGATTTGCAACCAGCAAATACAAGGAACCGATCGGTTACAATATTTCTAACATGTTTATGCATTTGACGAATTACTCCGTTAACAAGCATAGCCGAATGTACATCATCGATGATGAAATTGGTAGCAAAAGGTTCGTATATATTGGCTGTAGAATTGATGATAAAATATAACCAGTCAGCAAATTATTTTTTACAGAAAAATATCAACGTTGAATAAATGGTTTAAGATGAAAAATGTCGATGTAGATGAATTATGGAGTAAGATCGACGAAATTATAATTAAAACCATAATCGCCGCATACCCCGTATTAAAACATAATTACCACGCGTGCTTCTCGATGCACAATATGACTTGCGCCTGCTTCGAGCTATTGGGATTTGACATTTTGCTCGATTGGAAACTCAAGCCTTATCTTCTTGAAGTAAGCTTTTCACAAAGAGATTCAGGCATCTAAAAGAAATATATATTATTAAATATTTTCTCTACAATTAGTAAATCTGTCAGGTAAATCACTCGCCAAGCTTTCATACTGATGCACAGATAGATAAAGACGTAAAGGAAGGATTGCTAATGGACACCTTCAATATATTAAATTTACAACAGTATGATAAGAAGAAAATAATAGAGGAAGACAGGAAGCGAATCAGAGAGCGACTTCTTCAAGGCTTAAACGGGAAGGAGCTTAGGCAAGTGAAATATTTCAAAGAACATACACAATTTGTATAGCTTTGTAAAACCTATTAGTAAAAAATGACATTCAATTATAAACATTTTTTACAATCCATACGTGATATAAAAATTAAATCCGAATTTTTAATTAGTACGTTAAAATATCTGTCAAGAGTTTCTCATTTTATATATATAAAATATAAAATATATAGAATATATGTAGAATTCAAAAAATTCGCAGAATTATAACAAAAAATATATTGCAGTAAAAGTCTGATAATACAATAAATTGAAACGTTACAATGTACAGTCAAATTAACGATCCGGCTTCGATAAAATCCGATAGAAACGAGAACAATTATATGCAGAGGCAATTTCAGTGGGAGGACGATCACATAGGCAATTTCCGAAGAATTTATCCATGCTTTGACGAGGATAAATATCACTCTTTCTTTATGCAAAATGCCCTTTCCGTTTTCCAAGATACGGCGGCGTCAAGAGCACGTGAAGAAGCGTTGAGAATAGAGAGAGAAGAGAACGAGGTAAATTTTCATCAATCTACAATTTAGTATCCTTGGCAAATGTGAATCTTCAAAACATTTCCTCATATTTATTAATGTTACATTAAAATTATGCCAATATGTGAAGTGAAATGCAATACTTGTAATATAAAATGTATATAACATCATGAAGCTTTTATCAGAAAAATTTTTATCAAAGTAACAAAAACCTTTTTAAAATATAGAAAGCACACATTGTTAATAAAAAACTGTTCGTTGTTCATCCAACAAAATAAACTGCGTTAACAAGCTTTAACTTTAATAACTTATATTATTACTACATTGCTATATTTTTTGTAATTGTCTTAATAATTTAATAAATTACTGCTAATTCTTATCTTTTAATCGGCTTATTTTTATAAGTAATTTCATCTTATTTTAGTTGAAAGCAAAAGAGGAAGAACGCAAACGAATAGTCGGAAAATGGAGCGAGCAAAAATTAGGCCCTGAAAGCTCAAACGCACTAAAGAAATTGCAAGAGAAAAGTAAATCCGCAGGCGTAATAAGAAAAACCGTTCGTATACAAAATAATTTAATTCTATTTAATTAAACTGCCATTTATATAAAGAAATACTTCATCATATATATATATGTATATTGTATATATACAATATATATATATTTCTTCATAAAAACAGCTATAAGTGAAAATTAGAAGAGAATAATTATCTCTTAGGAAGAGTATGAAAACTTGACAGAAGTTATAAATGGAATGTTAAATAAGATGGGACTTTTTCCTCTATCTCCGGGAAAAAGTAAGCATATTATCATCGTTACTTTTTCGCAGATCAATAAGCAGGATGCCGAGGGATCTCCCACTAACGCCCTATACTCTTTCGAACCTGAAATCATATCGGAGTCTGAAGAGAGAGAACGAATAACGGCTCTGGCGCAGAGGGATTTTCTCATCAAAAGCTACGGCTTGCTTGAGCAGATATACTTGGCGATGAAGAGAAACGGCATGTTACGACCCGCTGATGAGAGAAAGTACGGATTGTTGTATGGCAAACTGGGATTACACGCAAACATGAATCACAGCACGTGCTCTTTCTCGCACAAGTCCCATCATCGTCAAAACGGCCATCTGGATTCCACGCAAGCAGCCGTGAAACAATGTCCGCAATGTTCCTTAAAAGTGAATGAAGTAAGTACATATATTTTTGTCAATCGAGACATTACTCATCTTAAGCGACGTCTACAATAAGATTTTAAGGCATACAACTTAAGTTTTAAGTCTTAAAGTTGTAAGAAATTGACCAATCAGTCGAATGTGTAAGCAATCAACTATAATTGGTCAATTTTTTACGGTTTAAAGTTTAAAACTTTAATTTTACGCCTTTAAAATCTCATTGTGGATGTCGCTTTAGAAAATCAAATCCATAAATCACTCAGATTTTACTCGACCAGTTTTTACGCTATTGAACGTGACAAAAGCATACTCTCTCTTTTTACTTTTTATATTTAACAAAAAAAGAAGAGATAATATATATTAATTTTTAATAAGTATTTGATAAATAAGAGAAAAAGAGATATAATAATTTTCCTTTTTAGCACAAATCGGTGAACCATCAGCGTGAGTTTAAGAATTCAAACAGAAGTAAGCATCGACATTTTCATAATTATGAGCAACGTTCTAGTAATTGTCGCCTCCTAGCAAACACTAAATTATATGTAACGCACCTGTTAATTATTTTCCCACTCAGCAATATAATAACTATTAAAAATTTAAATAATTAATATAAAAACTATTTATAGACTCTTTTTGTTAAAAACAAATAAACAATCGTGAATTATAAGGCTATAAAGAGTCAAACGTAGTTGATCATGCGAAAAATTAATTTAATCTTACAATTAAAAATACAGTCGAATGTTTCGATCTGTGATTTAGACCATCTTCAGCGACTAAGTGATAATAAATACAAAGCTCCATATACTCCAAGTTATAATGCCAATTGAAAAACAATTATTGTTAATTAACAAAATGTTTCCGTGCACCAACCAGAGGTAAAAGCATCGTGTGAAGATCTGTAGCAAAATTTTTTAAAAAACAGTAATATGTCTGTGAAAAGACAGTCAATAACATATATTATTCTATTAAAAATTATCCAGAGAAAATTAAAACAAAAATTTTTTGTTTGCGTTTGACTCTTTATAGCCTTATAATTCACGATTGTTTATTTGTTAATAACTATTAATATTATAAGATAGCATATATTATATTACAGTTATATTGTTAAGTGAGAAATTACAATTAAAACACATTACATGTTACTTTACATTTGCTGGGCTAGTTAGATACGCGTTTAAAATCATTATCCTTTTCAGGTTTGTGGATAACATGTAACGAAGCGCTTGTTTACGTTCGTCCGAAAATACCGCAAATATTATGGATGGAAGAAATAAATTCTAATAATCACATAGGACGCATAACAAAAACTCACGTTGCTAGAACATTGTCGAATACTGTTCGGCTGCACACGCTCGAGAGAAGAGAATCCTCTCATTCGGCGAAATCTAAGTAAGCTGCATTCACGTTTTTATCCGTCTGCGTTTATTCTTACAATTATATAAATATTATAAATTAAACTATAATTATATAATAAAATAGAATTATTTATTACAACAAAATATTACTTAGAGTTGATGTTACCACTCAGCACCGAGGGTGAACTGGACCTTTTTCTCTATCTAGGATAAAAAAGCAAAGAAATATACTACATAATATGATAAAAGAATTATTTTTTCGAAAGATATAAAAGATACAAAAGCAAAAAGCTATATAAAAGATTAATATAAAATTGACCAAGAAAATGTAAACAAATATTATGATTTTGCATTATACTATTAACGTTCCTAATATTGAGCATGAATGAAGATTAATAACGATAAGATTCGTAATATTGAAAAATACAATTTCACATTAAATATATTATATATAATCTCAGTCGCGTGAAAAATACTTTATTAAGTAAATTCATATATCGATGAGAACTCGAGTTAAGAAGAAATAAAACAAGCCTCCAACATTTGGAAACCCAATGAACTTCAGGACACGTCTCATGTGTGAGCGGATACTATTTTAAGGTAGAGAACAGTAATATAAAAATCAACAATGTATCGACTTGTTATTTAAAGTGCCATATAAATATGTACAATAGATATATAAGTGAACATGTACATGTCGCATAAGAGTGGGAATTAGGTACGCGCCGGTGCGTATGTAAAATGATCATACACACATACGCAGACGCCAGTCTATAATATGTATAACAATTTTTATTGCTGATATATATTCTGTATTCACATGATAAAAAATAATCTATGAACAATTTGTCGCGTGCTGAGTTTTAGCTCCATTCGTGATACTGCGTCCACGTTTTGTCGCAGCGTCTCATTATCTCATCTCTTCAGTTACTCCTCCTACTTTTTTTCGCCTATTAGTCTTATCATTTTTCGTGTCGCAATCGATAAACCGAGCCTGTCGTGGACGCGTTTCAAGAGTTTACGACAAATAATAAGAATCCAAAGTTCTTTTAAAGTTCAAAATCGAAATAACAATAATCCGCAATTTTTATACAAAATAATACTGTGTAAAAGGTGTGTGTATGTGTGTGTGAGCATGTGTGTTCTGTGTTTACATGTGTATTGTGTCTGTTTGTAAATGTGCCGAATTGGCAACGACAAGAATTGTACGTTGCTCTCTCTTAAATTTCTAAATCACGGCCGGATTTCCTAAATTACAATTATTTTTTCTTTCGACTATAAAACGTAACGGCATCAAATGATAGCAACACTTCGCAGAATCTACGTATGTAGGCGATGTAATGTCGGCACTCTCGACTGTAAACTGCGTTATGTTACGTCATTGCAAGAACAAGAATTAGTGCGAAATACATCCAACATATTACGATCGATGGATCTTTTTTTTTTAACGTGATATATATTATTTACATAAAACCACTGTGCGACTGCGACAAATATTTGCGCATCTCTTTCTTGATTCCCACCATATTAAATCTTAGATATAGAAAGGCTTATGTACATAAAGTCAATAGATATTTATATGATATTTTATATTATATCGCTTATGAAAAGAAAAGACCGTAATTATGTATTATATTCATGCGAAGTATTTCCATCTCCGTTAAAAAAAATTGTCACATATTTCGGCATATATACATATTTCCTGAAAATAAAGGTAACTGCATTTGAAGAAAGTTGCAATGAGACAAACAGTTGGACACATATAAAATGCATTTGTTTCGAACAGATTTTTACAAGAGGGGGTTAAGCTATCGTTGTAAAACATATCCAATCGTTATCGATAAACGAAGAAAAGAATTATTACGCGATATGTATCGAGATGGATGCTCTGTAACACAAATGAACGTGTAGGAATCATCTTTAAAATTATATAATCACTTATGGCTTAATTCTGTGAAAGATAAAAACATTATCTTTAGTTACTTAAGTTACAGCTCATTTACTTTTTTGTACTACAAAATGATTCATCCGCTGCTTCGGCCATTGACAACGTGTAAGTCTTCGTAAATCGCTTAATCCCCTGTATCTTTTAATCTTCGTAATAAAAACAACGCTAACAGGTTTTAGTATGATCTTCCCGCGTGAGAAAATACAGAAAGAAGATATGTGAAGATGGTATCCTATTCGTTGTAATACTAAAATATGAGCATTATGTAGGATCCTGCGTATGTTACTCACATATAATATGTGTTAAAACGATTATGTCTAGTAAAACAAGCTTAAGGCATGAATTAAACGGAGACTTCGAGTAAAAAATAATTTAATTTTAGATTAAGAAATATTAGCTTAAAAAATTAATTTCTTTATCTAAAATTAAATTCATGAATTTTATATTGAGAATAAATTAGTAAATTTATCTAATTGAGGTACAAGTATAAACATTAATTATTTTAATAATAATTTTTGCTGTTCGTCAGATCTCCATTTAATACAGGCATTAAATGATATATATATATATGTGTATATGTATCTAGCTAATATTTCATATACATATAAAAAACTATACAATCCGTAGACGATAATTTTGTATTAGCTGCCGACGGAATTCAGTTTTTTGTTTTAACAGTTAATCTCCTGATAATAATATGCTCTTTTTTTTATATTAATATCGTCGATATTATAAATCTGGCAGATGCGAAGATTACGCTAGCTAGTTAAAATTGTTAAATGTGCACAGATTCCTTTATCGTGTTGAGAAACATTACTTTGTTTTATTTCGAAATAGTTTGAAATTAATAACGAATTTGGTTGGATGCGTTAGTGTAGATCAAAAAGTCTGTTGTACATTAATTTATCTAAATAGATACAATATAAGCGCTTTAAATGGTTAAACATTCAACGTATTTACTAAACGATGACGTAACTGTAATGAGCATCCAATAATTCCAATTAATTGAACCATGTATGGTATGTTATATATCATTTTGCGTACAACAGTCTTTGCATACACTACTCAAATTCGCTACATATTATCTTTTATAGATATAAACGGTGAATTCAGATAAGTCATAAATTATAAAAATACTAGCAAAAGACACGTAATCTCAGACACGCAATTCCAAAAATTTTACAATTTTAATTAGTTTTTAACAATTTCATTTTACACTTCAGCTCTGCCTAAATGTTAGAGGCTTATGCCGATTCCATTTCTTATAAAATTTCTATCAAATTATAAAAACTTATTAGAATAGAAATATTTTGTATATTAATATCAGTGAAATAATCCTGTTATGTGCGCAAGAGCAATATCATTAAAGATTACTTCATAAATTATATAAAACATTATTTTTATAAAAACTTTTTACAACTTGAGAGATATATTTCTTATATCCTAATTTAACCACAAAGTTAAATCAAGAGTTTAAACCATGGCAACAATATAAGAATAACCAAATTATTAACATGAAAAAATATAAAATATTTAATTAAAGATTGAACTAGCAAATCAGGTTTGCTTTTAGTTGTTATTGCAAATTCGATTGCATCACTGGCGCAAATTATAAAGTCTATTGTACATTTATTTATCGGAATGTAAAAACGTAAGTATTTTAAATTGATAAAGTATACAATATATATATTTCATCAAACATGATCTAGTCCGTTTATATACTATAAACATGTTTTTACATTATTTATGTATAACAGTCTTTAAATATGCTAAATATAGTGCGTATATATTACGCATCCAACCGAATTTGCTATCAAGTCTTTCAAAAAATAAAAAGCAACTTACTTATCTTGTGCATATGAAAAAATGTCTGTTGTATTGTTTTTATTCTACATTTATTTTCGATTTTTTTAAACAAAAAAATTTTCATTACATATGAATAAAAAATTTACTTTCAGTTAGATTTATAAAAAAGTCCAAGAAAGCTAAAAATGAAAATCGAAAATAAAGTAATACAATTCACCATGGTTCCCTTTATACTAAAATAATGATATATAAAAATATAAGAATTGCAGCATTTCAAGGTACATTATCTGAAGTTCCAATACTGCATTTATGTTTGTGTAATTCCGGTTTTTTAATGGGAATAGCTAATTCTGTTCATGCTGATTGTATTATTAAGTCACATATTTAAATTTAATAAAAAATTCAATATGAAAATTTAACAATAAAAATAGGACTTACGACAAGCTCTTATGTCAACCTCCAATCAATCGATATAATTTGTATCATAATAAATATATCATCTGCATGATAAAGGTGATATATATTCGTGAATGCAATAAATCAAAGATTTCAAATATATCAATATGATTTTAGTATTAATTTATATTCGTGTACTATTATTTTAACACAAATATAAAAAAAAATTCATATAATGTGCGCAATGACAAACGATACTCGTATAAATCATTTTCATTTGATAAAATTAATATTACAATATTTAAATATCAATTGCAAAGATGATAACATTTATTATGACGTTTATCAGGAACGTTTATATATAGGATAAAACGAAGACGATGCAAAATTGTTCGCGGCTCGTCTCTAATATATGTCTTACAATGCTTGGCTTAAAACCAAAGGACCTCACACAAAACTTATGGAAAAGTACTTTCGGTCGAATTAACTAAATTTTTTATAAGCTGTAGTTCTCTTCATTTTGAACAAACGTCTCAATGGGTACAACTTGATCCTACGACTTATTTTCAGAGATATAAACAGTCAGTGTCCTATGCCGAAAAAGCGATACGCACTACATTCGCGTCATTATCGACTTCTTAGATCTTTGTTTCTAATATATATGAATCAAATAATTTCAATAATAGTACTTACAATAAATAATTATTATATTACAGTATATATAATAATTATTATATAAATAAATGTAATATTGCATAATATCTTAGATGCAGGGAATAGAGAAGTACCAATAGATTTGAATGAAAACGCAGACATCATTGACCTAGACCAAAATGAAAATGCAAGATAAATAAGAGAGTCAGTCCTTCACACGCATAGATGGCCGCGCGTACACACATACATATACACACGCACGCGTTTGAAAGGGAGGGTTTTGAGTCTTAAGGTGATTTCACATATAGTATATCACATGCTTTTTGCAATATTATACAGATAGAACATGCTGCGTATATTACACACAGAGAGTGCATCTATTTAATAATAAATATGTATAATACACTGGATGTAAAATCACTTAAAAAAAAAAAAAAGAGAGAAAATAACGATCCTCGGTATGCACGCACGTGCACACACATGATCAGATAACCTGCCATGTCCACGTCGTTGATCCTGAATAACGTTGAGAACAGGAAAATATATATGGTTTCAACAATTTACCTTCCGGAGTCATACTATAAGCCTTCAAATTAATATGTGACTTTAGACAAATATTATTATAATTATAATCATAATTGTAATTATAATTGTAATTATATTTATTATAAATATTATATATTATAATTATTATATTTATTGTAATTACTATTATTGTAACTATTTAACTCATATTTATTAGAAAGAAAATCCTAAGAGAAGTCGATAATGACGTGAATGTAATGCGTATCGCTTTTTCGACAAAGGATACTTTGACTGATTATACCTCTGAAATTAGCCATAGGAACAAGTTGTTGAACAACCATTGAGATATTTATTCAGAATGACGAGAACTACAACATATTAAAATTCAGCTAATTCGACCGAAAGCACTTTTCTATAAGTTTTGTGTGGAATCCTTTGTAAATACTATTAATTTTGAATTAAATGCAATTAGTGATAGAAGTATTAGATCCTTTGTAAATCTCAAATTCGTTAAAAAATTTATTATTTTTTAAAATTTTTGTTTTGATATCTTGAAAAAATTTTTTTTTAATTTTTTAAATAAAAAAATTATACGGTTGCCAATTATTTTCACTATCTGCCAAGATTCAATATTAAATAATATTATAATTTAATAAATCTAATGAATGAATTCATTTGTCATGAATAACTTGAAATTAAAATGACAGTTGAGTGTTATACCTCTGCTTTCATATATATCGATACAACTTACAATGATATCCTAATATTTCAACAAGTTAAAGCTAAGGTATTAACAAACATCATATTTTTTTATTTTAAATGCACGACTTCGCGCATGCATTAATTTATCATGTGCTAAGGTGTCTGTGTATGTGTTGTGTGCACAATTGCACACACATATATGCGTGTACCACATATAAACGCTAACAAATAGTCACTGGAGCGTCGCACGAACGACGGGACACGAAGTGTTATGGTTTATACTTAACCAGGGGTATGCTTTTCGATTGCAAACACTTATCACACACCCATTCTGCATAAACCTCTTGCGTTAATGATTGATAAGCGTATTCTGTCAATCCTGTGCAGCCCCTGAAATAATTAGGTTGTCAAAAAAAAAAAAACATTTTATATTATTTTACAAGATCATTGTTTTAACGACTTACCTATGAAACCAAAAATTACAACCTGATTCGCACAGAATTGCCTGATCATTATCGTGTACTTCTTTATGACAAATTCCACAGGGATAAATCGGTGGCGCATTAGGATTTTGTGGATTAAATACCATTGACTGATCTGGAGGATATATCTGTAAAAAAATGATAAATTACAAATTAATTTGTTTAATTCGAATTTGCTAAATGTAGTTATTATAAGTTAATTATATTAATTATAATTACAAGATAATATACTTGATAAAAACATAACTTACTTTGCCTGCAGAAATTGGCATTGGCTTTGGACCCATTCCCGGCGGACCTTGAAACCCGTGTGGTGGCATAGATCCCCCCATAGAATTAATAGGATGTCCCATAGGTGGTCCACCGCCCATATTATTGGATAATGTACCCATTGGACCTGCCATATGACTTCCCATTTGATTGTGATGGCTAATATTCATATTGGACATACTACTTATTCCTGGACCACCCATATTCATGTTATTTATTTGATTCGGTCCAGTCATATTCATGTTGTTCGATACCATCGAACTCATAGTGGTCATTGGTCCATTCATAGGTCTTCCTAAATTGTTAAGATTATTTCCCATGTGATTCGGATGAGGTTGAGATCCATTATGTCCTAGTGGACTGTTTACATTGTTTAGTGATGGCCCATTTAATGGACTGTTGGGCGGTATATGGCTATTTATGTTGTTCATGTTCATTGGTCCATTAGGCATGTGATTAGATCCTCCCATGTTCATTGGAGATCCTAAAGGTCCACCCATAGGACTACCCATGTTGTGACCCATGTTGTTCATTGGGCTACCCATAGGTCCACTGTTCATATTATTCATTGGACTACCCATAGGTGGACCACTTAATTGCGAATTTCCCATATGACTAATATTCATATGATTATTCATGGTGTTCATTGGACCAGGAGGCATATTTGGACCCATGTTATTCATAGGGCTCATACCTCCAATAGGAGCATGATTCATAGGAGACATAGCTCCCATATGATTCATGTGATTTGTCATGGGTGAATTACCCATAGGACTCATATTGCCCATATTATGTGGCATCATAGGACTCATGCCACCTATCGTAGTTAAAGGGCTCATACCTCGCATAGGAGGACCACCCATGTGATGTGGATGATGAGGATGCATATGTGAAGGCGCACCATGCATCATTGGACTTTGCGGCGTTTGTGGTGGAGTGTCGTCAAAAGGATTACTTGCAACTATTGTATCACCGTAACCAGTTAAGGGTGGGGGTAGTAGGTCCTGTTGAAAGAATGTTAGATTAATAATAAGATAATAATTTATATTAGATCAGTGCAAAAGTTCGTGCCCGATTTATCATTCAAAATTCAAACAGTTGTAATTTTGTTAAAAATAAGCGAAATTTAAATTAAAAATAGGATGTTAAAGAATACTTTATTTTCAAAAAATTACTATGTTTCTTGAATTTCTGAGAGTTTGATAATTTACATAGAAAACTATGAGTTAAACAAGACGAGAAAATTATTCTTTACTTTGTGATCCTGTTACACATCAAAAAAATTTGCAAAAATTTTTGAATTTTTAACATAGAAAAGCTTAAAGTTTTCCCGTTTTTCAAAAATGTCTCTGTAAATTTTTGTGACTGAGTTATTGCAAATTAAATAAAAAGAACATTTTGACATTAATTGCTTATAATTCTGTTAAAACCATAGCAATTAAAAAAAAACAGATTCGTAAATATGCTCTATCAAATAAAGTTTCAGATTAATTTTATTTTTAACAGATTTGTAGCAGTTTAAATTTTGAATAGTAAATCGGACACAAACTTTTGATCTAATACATTAAAATACATAAATATAACAAAGTGAAGTTAAGTTACCTGTACAGATGGAGGTTGTTGCGGAGGTGGTTGAGCAACACTTGCATTTGTACGCCTTTTCTTTTTAGGATTAGCACCAGCTGGTGGTGGCGGTGGTGGATGGGGATGAGCAGAAGAGTCAGGATGTGGGGCATTAGGGCCCATATTTACACCCATTCCCATACCCCCCAATGGCATCCTTGTGAAGGGTGGCATGCCCGCAATATTGTGGCTCATTTCCTTCGTTTCCCTTATTTTATCATGCCAGCACCACTGGATTTTCGTGGCAAGTAATTATTTTTAATCCACTGTTAGAAAACAAGCAAAACGAAACTTTATTGTATATAAATTTATTTTAAACGGTGTATGTACATGTATACACATTCAAATAATTTAATAACTGATGAGATTGCAATGCTTGTTACTTATTGCAACTCACAATGTAGCATAACCATCGACATGTAGTACTGGACGGAGCGTGTAGTAAAATTTCTTTGATCTTTCATTTTAACGGAAAAAGAAGAATGAACCTAAAACTTTCCAGAAATTCTCTTTCTACTATTGTTCTATTATATCGGTTTGAAATTAAGAACAGAGAGGGAGAGAGAGAGAGAGAAGGGGAAGAGGAAGAGAGGGAGAGGAAGGGAGGGAGAGGAAGGGAGGGAGAGGAAGAGAGAGAAAGAGCGAATGTAAAGATGACTAATTTCTTTCTCTTCTAAAATATTGTGATTGATTGAATAGAATAAGATATAAAAACTGAACTGTCTTCGCATTCTATCTCTCTCATTTTTTCAATCCATTTTACATACAAATGGCGTCCATACTATATGTCTTTGAATCTACATTGTTCCAGATCTTTCTAGTAACGTTTTCGAATGCAGTGAGTTTCAATGTTACACTCTTTCTAGTATCATAGTCTCAATAAGCCTAATACATGATATTGATAGAAATTAAACGAAGCCTTCTATTTGTTTCTTTTTACAAAATATGTGTTAGCCGCTGTTGCAGTAAGTACTTCAATTATAATTTAACAAATATGCATATTATCAATCATAAATATTTGCTGATATTTGTATAGATTTGTGAGTGCAGGCACAAATATTTATTAGTCTTAATGTAAATATGTAACGATTTAAAATTTAAATGATTAAATGAAGTTAAAGCTTAATTCAATAAACCAAATTTGTTTAATGTTTAATTTCATGTTTCATAAAATAATTACTTATGATTATTAAAGATAATTATTAATTTCATATATAATAAATATAATTTGTGTACAAACTTCTTTATACATTTACGTAAAAATATAATAATTTAAAGATTATATAATTATTGAGCAACACATTTATTCACACACACATACATTAAAAATTATTCGAATAAAATTATTAAAATGAACATTTCGTAATTTATTTAAATATCTTGTAACTATTTACGAAAAGAAAACTAAACACCGTCACTAAAACGTGTCTCTCACAACAAATTCATTAATAATTATCTCAATTATCTCAGTCAGATACAAAATAATTGATTAAGATTGTATCCAGTTTTTACCTGCTGTACTGCCCTACACGCCGTTCGAGAAAAATTTTTTAACGAGTCAACCGATCAGAGTGGTAGCATATATGCCGGATATACAGCCGCGGAGTAGTGAAACATTCTTATCGCATCGAAATGCTCCATTGAAATTATTCTCGCGGCATGAGAGAGACTTATCATTTATAAACAAGCTGGTGCGCGCGAGAGAGCGCGCGTACATTCACGCACGCACATATACACATACGCGAAAGCTCGGGACCCGCGTATGCATATCTGTACATCGTAGCATACCGCCTATATTTACATATGCCGATATAAATAACGAAATTACTACCGTTACCTCGGGTGGCGCGCCAGCGGTCCGTCCGTCACGAATGAGACGGAAGATCGTGTAGAGGCAAAAGAGAGAAAGAGACACGCACACGTACACACCAGTGTGTAAGAGAAAAAAAGAGAGAAAGTGAGAGAAGCGTCTTTACGACACGACTGTACCTTCGGAACGGCGATAAGAGACTTGCGGTACAACAAAATAGAGAAGAGCCCTCGTCGGGTCCCGTCGCGCGGCGAACGTAAAAAGGAAGCAAAACAAACTTCTCCTTGCAGCTCTCTCGTATAGACTAACCTAACCTAACCACACACACAGGGTCTCACCATCGAGCCTCCGCAAGGCGCCTCCGCAAAGTTGGACGGAGTTGACCGCGCACGATTTGTGTGCGTCCGCAGCGCGCGGGATAAACGTAACAATTATGTACAGCGGTGTTTAAGCAGGCTGATAAGAACGTACTACGCAACGCGTGTGATGCACCGGGCGATTTAAAAAGCCGGCCGGGTTTCACAGGGACGCGAGATAATCGCGCGACCTGTACGTGTCGTCGTACTCACCAGCGCATTATAGCGGACGCGACGACGAGATCGTGTGCATGACACGGTCGTTTTTTCTCCGGAGTAACCCCGGCACCCACAAGTCCACGTTGCGAGTGGTTGCGAATTGCGATCTAGCCACCACACTATCGTCGTTGATTCTGTCGCTGTTGTTGGTGCCGCCGCCACTGCCGCCGCTACTGTTGCTGCTCGATGCACTGCTGCTGCTGCAGCCTTTTTAACAGAACGAGCAATCTGTCTCTACGCGATTCTGGCTTGCGCCTCGCGCGCAACGCATTTCTCGGTATCGCGAACGGACCGCGCATTCACGGACGCGCGTACACGATCGCGGTGAACGCAATCTCGCACTCTTGGTGTCACTAAGCTCGGATAACGGAGCGAGGTATCGCCATACGAACCATCTCAGGTCGCCATTGTCGCGTTACGCGTGTCCCCCTCGCGCTTGTATTTGTCGCCTATCTGTAGCCCGTGATTTTTCGTGCGCCTCCGATAGATGGCGATGTCGTTGCTGACGACGCGTCAAGTTCGCAAAGAAACGGCCGTGATACTCGGTCGATAGTAAATCCGAGATTTCGCGATGATCTACAATCGGCGAGAAATTTTGAAGCGCAAATTTGGAATTCACTTTAAGATTATCTTTATATGGAATTTTTATGTATTGTTTACATTGAAGGGATCCTACAAATGAAGAAGGACGCGTGAAGAAAATGCTTCGGTCAAATTGACTAAAACGATGATATTTTGTAAATTATGAAATGTAGATCTCGAGGTTTCCGATCCTTAAATAAAATCATAAAATATGGACAAATTTAGTTATAGCGACATTTGAAAGTTGCTACTTAATTTGGGATCTAATCTGAAAAGTAATTTCATATTTGTTTGCATAAAATAATAAGATGAATTAATCGATGTAAAGAAGATAGTTTATTTTAAAAAAAGATATGTAATTTGTCCATAATTAAATTGCATATTTTTTTAAAAACAACTTTATGATTTCTTTACATCGATTACTCAATTCATCTCATTATTCTGTGTATAAAAATATTAAAGCACAGTTATCAAAAAATTAATAGTTTAGGATAATTTTAAATAAGGATAATTTTCAATTTGATTATAGACCTAAAATAACAACTTTTGAATGATACTACAGCAAAATCTTTTCATTTTTTACGTTTCTGTCTAAGCAACTGTTGATTTAAGCATCTAATAAAATTCGCAAATCATAATGTATAAAATATAAAATAGCTATAGTTTACATAATTTGTATTATACATATAATACACCTGACAAACAAGATGACGTTTTTTATCATCATTTTGACGATATTTTGATGTTAAAAGCATCATTTTGACGTCAAAATGACGATAAATAACGTCAACTTGTTTGCCGGACATGCATGTAGGGGTAGATTATTATATTTTACGCGCGTAAATGCAAAACCCTGATGACCATGTCACACCCCAGTCTCCTGCCCGTTTCTCTAATATATATAGATTAACTTTAATCTCGATAGATCAATTTGTTTTTTATTTAATATTTCTTCCTAATTTTGAAATTATTTTAAAAAATCGAGAGTAAATTGAACCAAGATTACAGATAATCTATTGGTGCAAATAAAATCAGTCTTAGATGAGATCGATATATAGTTTCATATTAAAACATTTAAGTTTTTAGAATAAGATCAGTTTGAACGAACGTGTAAGATCTATTTTACATTTCGCGTTTTCATATAAATTTATTTATACTAAACTTGTATTTGAAACGTGTCCACGTCTTTTAATTTTCTTGAAAGTATAAGCTTTCATCTTCTTTTCTCTTTGCTTTTCAACGTAGAATATTGGATATACTATATAAAAAGAACAGATACTACTTCATAGCAATCAGGAATTTAAGTTAAATTACGTCAATCTATATTAACTTTTAATCCTTTGGAGCTGACGGTGGGTCTATTGGATTCACTCAATTATCTCTTTGTCAAAAATGTCAAACTTTTCAATTTTCTTCGTGTTATCTGCAATTCAGATTATTTTTATTAAAATATGGATATTTGTAATATTATATATACATGTAATATTTTATTCTTATTAAAATATATTTCAAAATATACTTGATATATTTTAATAAAAATGATTATTTTTTAATGCGAGATATGTCAATTTGGTTCCTTGAAATTAATTAGTGTCTTTTCAATTAGCATAAATTAAATAAGTCTAACAGATCTAGCGTCAGTAACTGTGTTACAAATTTTGACGTCCGCCCTGGAAGGTTAATATAAAATAATACAGCTTCGAGCTAAGACTGATTAAACTCGTGGATAAAGAAAATATTCCGTAAGAGATACTGCTGCGTATTGCGATGAAAATTCAAGCTTTAAATGATAAGTTTTATATGACGTAATTTTTATTCACGTTACGAATAAAGTGGCATGCATGGTCGACACACAGGTACGTGAAATTCACGCCATAACACTTTGCACGACGCGGACTGCTATAACCACGTCCGAGCTTAAAGCTCCGGCACGGCATAGAGTGCTCGCATGCATCGCTTTAATTATTTCAGTTACATCAGTGAATTAACCCGGCTTAACAGCCAGGAAAACAGCTTTCGCGAGTGTCTATCTTGAATATTTGAGCTAACTGCCTACCTGTCTGGGTACACAACGTACGTATGGTTCCCGGAATCGGAAGTCATCGCCGTCTTACTTGCTCGTTCTTTTATTTTAACTGACACAAGCTTGCCGCAATTACGGGACACGCTTCAAGTCAGCCGAAACGATTGTCTTTGAAGGGAATGATATGTATACACAATGTTGTACGTGAAAAAGTGGAAGTAAGTGAGAGCCGATACCAGACGAGATACTATTATTTTTGAAGGAGATACAGTTTAATCGGTGATTTTAAGAAAGAATCTTTGTGTCCTTATTCCTACATTGAATTAGATACTACAAGAAAATTGAATAACACAACAAAGTTAGTAAGAATCTTACAACTTTGTTCTTACATCTCGCAAAATTTGCGCTACTTTGCTATTTCTTATATAATTATATGTCTATATGTATGAAATTACTTTTGGAATATAAAGTTTCATCGACGATTTCAGAAAAAAGTCTTTGTGCCCTCATTCTTACATTAATCTTCCGAAGTTGATGGCAGGTCTCTTCAATTATAAATTTTTTATTGAAAACGTCAAACAATTCAATCTTTTTTATTACAGAAAGTCTGTAAGTTTGAATTGTATTCTTATTAAGTATATTCATTCCCCTCTTTTTATACTATCATTTTATAATAAGTTTCATAAAAATAATGAATGACTTTTATTTAACATAAATTATATAATTGGAAAATTTGTGTTAAATTTAACATATTTCGCAAACAATCCCAAACGATCCACTCAAATTTTTATGTTAATTTAACAAAAGATAAATATGTTAGTAACACAAATATCATAGAATAAAAAATGTAACACAATTAAAGTAATACGAAATATTACGTAGCAAAATTAGTAATAATTTTACAACTGTTTTTCTTACATCTCACAAAATTTGCGCTATTTGAGTGAAGTTGTCTTTTGCGTGTCTATACGCATGAGGTAACGTTCACGACGCATTATTTCACACGGCGAAAGAGAAATCCCTGATATAGACCAGCTGTCCATCTGTTGCCCAAATGGACAGACGAAATTAATACGACCGGCCATTTTCCCGGAGCCAATATATAATATGAAAAAGCGGGGATGCCGTCACCTCCTCCCTCTCGTTATCCGCTCACGTTAACGGCTCTATCGATCTCATTAACTGCCTGGGCACTCGCGATTTATTTTTATCGAAGGATATAGAGTATATATCCCAGAATCGCCGTTTTCGTCCGGGTAAAAGTGGTACAAATCGGGAGCGTCGTGAACGAAGCGGAAAAACTGGGCCAATCCCCGGAGGAGAAGAAACCTGGGATGGTGTGTCCTGAGGGAATCTCAACGGGGTACGAGGACGAGAGTATGACAAAAGACGTGAGGACGAGGGAAGGATTTAATAAATTTCTCCGAAGGAGTCCACTAAGTGGGGTAAATCATACGGTTATTGGCCTCTTAGGAGATATTTCTTTGTATTTCTTGTTGCGCAATTATCGAACGATGTCTCGTGTTCCGTTAATCCGTAAGCGTACGATTATTACATTTCATTATTAATATTTGATATTGAAGAAACGTTAATAAAGAGTAAAAACTGGAAATTTGCTCAGGCTTTTTATTAAAACAATATGCGAAAAAATAGATCATTTAAATCTCGATTTAGCATACGGAATATACTTTGGATTCTAGAAACGTTTCTTGCATTTATTTCTACGTAGATATGACCTCCTTTAAAAAAAACATCCGCATTAAGTAAAAACATCGAATAAAAGAGGGTAACTCATGAAAATTCATTGGACTTTGTGAAAAACGGTTTATTTTTATATAAAAATAAACTGCAGAATCTTCTTCACAGATAATTTGATAATAATGTTAAGACTCTTCACTATCGCATCTTTTTATGAAGAATTCTTTTCAATCAATAAAAAAAATTTAAAAAAAAGAGATTTATACGTGTTTAAAAAAAGCTTTCAATGCGTATAACTCGTTGAAAGCAATAAGCTGCCACTCAGAACAAAACGTATTTCCTCTAATAAAAAGCGCCGAAACTGCTATTCCATTTGTTTAACAGTATCAATACTGTGTCCTAAAAAAAGAAAAGAGTCGGAAAAGAATCACAATTGAATCGGGCCTAATAAGAGCAGAGGGTGCAATCGATGGACTCTGCTCGTTGTGGCAATCGTCCATCTACACCAACGGATTCTGCAAATAGCGACATCGCCCAAACAAAAACGACGCGCCAATCAATCTGTCGCGTGGTGCACACGTGTCCTGAATAAGAAACGAACGATTTGCGCAAATCACACAAAGACTCAGACTTCAAAAGAAAGCGGCTCACCTGTACATACGTATCCTGATAACTTCTTCCGGAGGCGTTCATTTGTAATTTGGACGATCGACGAATTTTCGATGTCTCTTTATCAGTCGACTTCAGATCGCTCAAAGAAAATATCATTAAAGAATCATGCCATAAAACTGAAATGTCTATATATGATCATAAATAATTTATAGACTCGTTCCTTCTTTCTTTCTGAACATTTTCCTTTGAC